TGGCCAATTTCTAGCTTCTTCTGTGTGGCTGCTGCCACAGCTTAGGGGGAACCTGTCCCCCATGGTGGCTTCTGGGGAGCAGATGGACCCAAGTTATCTCTGGACTTGAGCTTTCTGATAGTCTCTACTGGCCATGCACGACAATTCAAATTTAAGTCAGTTAAGCAGAAATCCAGTTAAAGATTCAGTTCCTTGGCCTCCCTAGCTCCATATAGGTTGCTCAGAGCCCCTCATGGCTACCACACTGGACAGGATAGATAGAGAGTGTCCCCATTCTTACAGGAGGCTCTAGGGCAATATGGGCCCCCTGGAGTGGTATGGCTGAGCTAGGGGCCATTTTCCCTATGGGGGATACAGCCAGGGTGGGGGGCCCCTATGCTTCAAGTGGCCAAGGCTGCCCCAAAAAGCTAGCCTAGTCCCCCTAGAGAGGTGTGAGCTCTAAGCATATCTGTGTCACCTGTTTTGTAGTTGGTGAACCGACTGGGCACGACGCGAGGCAGTGGGGAGTTGTACATGCAGAGCCCTACGCAGCGGGCCCGGGACCAGCTCCACAAGGAACAGCTTGTGGCTGCTGTGGAAGGTAGGACCCACCACACTGGCCGTGCCATCTCAGTGGCTCTGGGTCTCAGGGTCTGGGCTGGATTCCACCAGCCTGGGCAGAGCCAGGTGGGGATAAAACCATCACCATCAGGCCTGCTTCCTGGAGGAGGGGACTGAGTTGGCATCTTGGATCAGGGAGGGCTATGGCTGAGAGACCAGAAGGCCACTGTGGGCCAAGCACTGATTCTGGTCCCTCACTGGGGGCAGCACTGCATGGGCCAGCAGGGAGTGGGCCATGAGCCCAGAGTCTGGGTGAAGGCAGGAGAGACAACCCTGGGTGTATGGTAGAGGAAGGGTTCCCAAGCCCTGAGCAACATCCCCGGTGAAACGTGAATATATGTAAAGCCTAAACCTGGGCCTGGTAGCCTGACCAGCAGTGGTCAGGGAGGTGTTGTGCAGGTGGACATTCTGAGGGAGGGATGTATACCAAGAGCAGAGGGTGAGACCTCTGGGTTCCAGCTTGGTTCTGGGGCTGGGAAATAGGGGCTGGGCCCCTCCACACAGAGACCAGAACACTGTGACTCAGCCTCATTAGCCTGGCCTGGTGCTGCTTCTGAAGTTCTGGAGGGGACCAGGCTGCAGAATGAGCCTTACTAGGGACCAAAGGTGAAGGGAGGGAGGGAGGTGAAATAAGACACGACACCTCACTCCTCCAGGGTTCCAACTGGCCCAGGTAGGCCAGGAACAGCCAGAGCAGGGAGAAAGACACTGGCATCTGTCCTGAGTGGCTTACTCAGAGCTGCCCCACCTGGCAGGGGCTGTCTGGGCAGGTGGTGAGCCTCCTGTCCCCAAGGGCATATGAGCAGAGGCTAGACCAACACCTGATGAAACTGCAGCTCCCACTGTAATTTGAGTTGGAATATGTGTCCTCCAAGTCCTGAAAGTTGGCATATGCATCCTCTGGTGCCACTTGAATTATCCAGTGTCCAGAGGCTGGTTGTCCATCTGAGCCCTCTTGTCCCTGAAGATCCTGGGCCACCTGGGACCTTTGATATCCTCCACAGCCCTCAGGAAGACCCCTCCTGCCTGACTGGGCAGAGCTTCTTGTTACTCATCCTCCAGAGGGCCACAGGCCCTGGCTGAGCCCGTCCACTCCAAGTGTCTCATGTTGGACATGTGTCCCTGAAGGCCCATGACATCCGCTGGCCCCCACAGTGCCACGCCAACATTTTGCTGCCACCAGCACCTCGACTTCTGTATATCTCACGTTTCACAGTTGAAGGAATGCCTGGTGGGGACGCCCAGAGCTTCTTCTTGCTGGTGACCAGAGTTTCCGTTTTAGTTATTTACTTGGTTATCATGACGGGTCTCTTTCTGGGTACGGAGGAAGGGGTGGCAGCATGGAAGAGCAGGCCTCCGGGCCTACTGCTGTTAGCACCTCGGCGAGGCAAGAAGGCCAGTCCCTGAAGATCCTGGAGTCAGAGCCCAATGCCTCCCTGCTTTCTAACTCCTATCCTGCCGCTTCATCTTTAACCCAATGGCTCTGCAGCCAAAACAGACCCTGGCAGATGCTATGGGTGGGCTCTGCCCGCTCCTTGCTTGTGAATCTGCGCCAAGTCAGGAGCTCCGCTTCGCACAGCTGTACCTCTCCTGTGGTTGCAAATACTCACTTGGACTCCAAGCTGGTCAAGTGGCAGTTTAGGTCTACAAACAAAGGTGCTGGGAGTATAGCAGCCCAGTGGTGCACTGGCCACCACCTCTAAGAGCAGCAAGAAGGATTCCCATCAAGGAGAATGAGGAAGAAGCCCTGGGTTTTCACATACTCTGTGCACACAGTCTGGCCGGCAGGCAGCAAACACACTGGGCCTAACTTGGTCTAAAAGACACAGAGCTTTTTGACTAGATCCCATTTTCCCTGTGGACTCTTGTCCCCCAGAGGACAGCCTGTTCAAACAGGCACACATATATACGAATATGGGTGTGCACACATACACACACATACACATGTGCTCTCAGATGCACACATGTAATCACATGTACATGCACATACACACATATAAGTGGCTCCCAAATACACACTAGTACATTTAATTCATGCGCGCCCCATTGGAGACAACATTTAAAATAGTCTTGGTCATCTAAAGGAAAATCTTTCTCTATTTGGCAGTATACAAAGCAGAAAATCCCCCAGACCAGAAGCTAGAGGCTGTGTGCCCCAGGCCACACCACTTGACTTTTTCAGGCCTCCTTCTCAGTTTTCCCTGCAGGGTGGTGAAAGAGCTGTTGAAATGGGAGGATACTGGTAGCCTGTGTGCTGCCATGTGTAATCGGCCAAGCCTAGGAGGGGTCATCTTTGTGCCAAGCCCAATCCTGCCTGGAAGTTACAGGGGAGGAGCCTCAAGAAGGTTGGGAATAGGTGTTGCCTGATCCCACTGAGTCCTGTCCCATCTCTGGAACTCATGTCCCCAATCTGTAAAACTGGGAACTATATGTCCTATCCTGGTGGCTCTGAGCAGGGAGGCAATTACCACGAGAGACCACTGAGTTTGTAGCCTGAGGGTTCTCCTATGGAGAGACTTAGGTTGCCTACTCACAGCTCAGGACCTTGTCCAGCCATCCTCTGGGACTGATCCCTGTGGGACATCTGTGTTCCCATGCCACATGCCACAGAGCTCAGATATACTGAGTTCAGAACTCCAAAGTTCTTCCCTGAGAGATACCTCTTGGTCTTTAGGGCTTTTTTTGGGAGGGGGGTGGGGGGCGGGGGTGTAAAGCAGTCATCAGTTCAGCCCCAGTGTGGCTGCTGACTCACTGTGCAGCAATAGACCACTTCTTCCTTCTCTCTAGGATTCAGTTTCTATGTATGGAAAGTGAGACTGTAAGTCTGACAAATTACGGGACTCCCTTGGCACATTGGCTAAGGGAGAAGCTGGGATTCCAGTGCAGGTAGCATAGGCAGGGCCCTCACTTGCCCACAGCCTCTGCAAGACCCTCAAGAGGGATAATGGGTCCTACCTTCAGGTGGAATGCATTGTTGTCAGACCTCCTCATACTCCAGCTATTCAGAATAACCATTATCACCTCCATTGCACAGGCGAGGGAACTGGGGCTCCAAGCTGAGATGGTCTGCCCAGAGGCACATGGCCAGACAGGGTTGGACCCACTGCTCCCAAGCTAAGCAGGTTACTGCACTGCCATACCACTCAGCTCAGCCTGAGCGCTGGCTGGTCTGTAATCCTCGCTATTCCAACTGTTTTCTTTGTAGTCACTGAACAGGAGACTAAAGTCCCCAAGAAAACCGTCATCATGTAAGTGCAGGCGTGTTCCTAACCTTCCTTCTGACTGCAGTGCCACTTGCATGCCACTAACTTGCCTGGACTTTGCCCATGTAGCCTGGCCACCTGCTTGCCTGACTGCCTGGCCTTTTCTCACCCTGCAGATTGTCAGCAATTTGCAGATACCTGCAGATACCTCGCATAACCACCTGCCCCCGAGACCTTGGCTATGTCCACACTTCACAGCTCATGTCCACAGTCTCACTACTCACTCCATGACCCCACTACCTCAGCATGTTACACTTACTCTGCCCACTTCTCAGTGGCCCACCCAGATCCTGGACCCAGTCACACCAGTTAGGATGAAGCTGGGACTGAGGGCTACTTCCCACAGTGGACTAGAGAGAATTCTACCCCTCAGTAACCTAGGAGCAAAGACAGTGTTGTCTGACAGAACTTCCTGTGATGATGGAAATGTTCTTTCTCTACCCTGGCCACTACAGCAGCCATCAGCCATGTGTGCCTGTTGAGCATTTGGAATGCATCTAGTATGACTAAGAAACTGAATTTTAAATTTTATTTATTTTTTATTAATTTGAATTTAATTTAGATTGTGCAGGTGTAGTGGGCAGAACAACCGTAAGGCCCTTACAGGTCTGTTAAGCCTAGTCCTCACATTTGAAAGATGGGGAAACCGAGGTTCAGGGAAGAGAGGTTAGCTCAGTTTGGGTCATGGTTGGAAGCCAACTAAGATCCCATTTCCCTGGTGCTATACCCACCATTGCTTTCTTCGTCCTTCAGTGCCTCCAAGGCATGGAAAACCTCACACAAAGAGGATGAAGTATTACCAGGGGACCAGAGCTGGGAGAATTTATGAATGTCAGATTTTTTTTAGCTTTATTTATTATAATGTGACCAGAGAGGGACCGAGCAAGAGACAGAGAGGGAACGTGAGAAAGCAAAACGCCAGGTGCAGGACTTGAACTGCGGTTGACTGTGTGGAAGTCCAGTGCCCTTAACCACCATGCCACCTGCCAGGCTCAGTTTTGGCCTAGATAATCTAGGGGGACTTCCAGTAGGAGATGTATGGAGGTGGAGCTAGTGAAAGAGCTTGCAAAACCCAAGAGACAAGAAATACTGGCTTCCTAAGGCCAGATGAATGAGGAGCTCCAGGATGGGAAGCCTCTTAGTTCCCTGTGTGCCTACAACCTACTAAAGGGGCCTGTAGTTGGGCATGTTGCTGCAGAATCCTGTTGTCAGCCATTTGATGAAATCCCTTCGTTGACTGACTCCTGCTTGCCCCCAGCAGGGTACTCCTGTTGTGCCACTGCACAGTAGAAGGGGCTGCCTGAGGTGGCAGTGAGCCAACACCCCATCCTAGGAGGTATGCAACCATGCCAGGGCTTCACACAGATGGCATTCTACCCATGAGGGGAACATTATCACCCACATTTTTAAGAAAGAATTATTTAATTTTATTCATTATTATTATTATTATTATTATTATTATTTTATATTTGTCATAGGGCACATGTGCTCACCAGAGGGAGAGAGAGAAAAAGGGAAAGCAAGAAACCAAGTCTCTAGGTACAGGACTCAAAGCACGGTGGGCTCTGTGGGAGTCCAGTGCCCTAACCACCATACCAGTCATTGGCCCCTATTATCCACGTTTTATGGATGAAAAAGGAGAGGAGCAGAGTTGAATTCAGGAATCCCCCTTGGGGGAAGCTTCAGAGGTAGCTTGTGCCTAGGAGAGGGTGGACCA